AAGGAAACCGGGCAGTGGTAGCGCACGCCTTTAATACCTAGCACTCGGGAGGCAGAGGCAGGTGGATCTCTATGAGTTCGAGGCCAGCCTGGTCTACAGAGAAATCCTGTCTAGAAAAAACAAAGCAAGCAAAACAATAACCAAAAACCCCAACAATAATAAAAAAGCAGAAAAATCCATACTTTGCACTGAAACAGTGAGATGAAATTAAAGATCAGGCAACATTTGGACAGTGAAGCAGAGGGGATGATGTTCATGACAGTCAGTAGCTGGAAGGAAGGTGTCATGTGGGCTCAGATGGTCACTGCATAGCAGGACTTGGGGAAGGCAGAGCATCAGGATACGAACAAGGCTCCTTTGCCTGGATCAGGCTGGACAGGTTCAGCATTGCTACCCTGCCAAGCTATGCTTTAAAAAGTCTTGGCGTCCAAGTAATATGACCAATCTCCCGAAGGACTGGAGGTACTAATAAGGTCACGAGATAGACATGCGAATGAGCAGAAGAGTCAAGTGAGGTCAGAAATGGGTTCGTACACACGTTTTGATCATACACCAAGAGGATTCGAGGGAAACAGACTACTTATTCTTTCAACAACGCTGTTAGAAAGCTGGCTGTGTGTGGAAAAAAAAAAAAAAACAGAACACTGGGCTTTCACGGACACCACACATGGGCATTTATTTGAAATGTGTTACAGATCAGTATAAAATGCAAAGAATGTGATTTCTCAAAGAGCAACAGAGAGTCTTCCCAGTGAAGGAAGCAGAGCAAATCTGGTTCAGGACAAACACACATAAAAAAAGGAAACAACAAACCAGATTTCTGTAATGTCAAAATCTGTGAACCTCGGAAAGATGGCCTTAAGAAAATGGAAAGGCTAGTCTCTGCCTGGGAGAAATCACTTATGCACAAGTAGCTGATTTGTCTGAGATACTAGGGGTCTGCACTGGAGACAGAGGACTTGTGTCTAGGACACCAGCCAACAAATGGCCAATCGGCAATAAGTTCACAGGTGGGTGGGAAGGAAAGTCATAATCAAAGACACTGTCTACAGAAGAGAAGTGAGACAAAGAAAAAAGTCACTGCCTCCTCTCTTCCTGTTTCTCTTGCCCCCCTCCTTCTCACTTAAAAAGACTTTAGTTTTACTTTCTGAGTATTGTGCCTGCATGGATGTATGTGCACCACATGAGTATCTGGTTTCCTATTGCCCACAAAGGCCATAAGAGGGCATCTGACATCTTGGAGCTGGTATTAGTGGCCAGTTGTGCTGTAGGAATTCCTACTACCACCAGTAGCCTTTAAGCTACTGGCCCACTTGGGTGTGGCCTCTTATACCACATATGCCCATGTAAAGTGTGCCTCCGGCCTCTCTTCTGGCGTCGGGTTTGGTTCCTGTTCCCCATTCGTGCAGATGACTGTAATCTGTGAGTCTACACCTAAGTAAATAACCCTCTGTTATACTCAGTTCTGAGCTAGTGTGGGATTTCTTTTAAGTGTCCCTCTTCAGAGTTGGAAACCACTATGTGGGTGCTAGGAACCTAATCTGGGTACTCTATGAAAACTGCAAATGTTCTTAATCACAGCTGTCTCTCCATCCACCCCACTCCTTACCCCAAATTCTGCTTGCTTTTTGAAACAGTTGTTTAGAGTATCTAAAACAAAAGTTTTATGCAGCCCAGGGTGCTTTGAACCCATGGTCCTCATATCTCAACCTTATCCTGAATTGTTTGGCTTCAAACTGAGGTTGGAGAAACATGTACAAAGTAATCAGTTGCTTTCCGTTTGAATGAAAACCAGGAGAAGAAGGTGAACAGACCTGATTAGTCCCTGGTTAGACTAATTTTAATTCCCAGAGGAGACAACAGTGTCATTTTGACAGTACTTGCCTGATAAATGAATCAGGAAGTCCCATGAGGTAGAAATCCCCCTTACATGGCTCAGTGGATTTTCCTGCACCTAGATGACTGGCTGGCTTGACCAGGAGAAACACAAAGGCCTGATATTTTGGGGAGGAATTCTGGTCCCTTTCAGTCGCTCTACAGGAATTGATTTGTTCTTCAAACCTTTCTTCAGATGTTCAGTTTCTCTAATCCACCCATTTTAACTCCTTTACTACCCACATATAGTACTTGATTTTTTTCTTTCACACTTTGGACTTAGAACAAAACAAACATACAAAAACAAAAAACCCTTCTTTTTGTGTCTTCTAGACTCAGCTCACCTACTTTCTATGTCAATTCATAGAGTAAGGGATCCGATTCTTTCTTATGAACCCATCCCTAAGAAAATCTAAATAAAGGGCAATTCTAGAAAAATAAACACTTTACTATCCACCTAATCATAGCTATAAATATAAACTATTACCAAATGAAGACCTGCACTCTATAGTTTATGTGTAGCATCTCTATGGCAACCTTTAGAAGGCATGGGTATCCAGTGGGAGTGGGCATACATAAGTGTACAATGTGTGTATGTATGTATGAGGTGTGTGTCTGTGTGTGTGTCTTCATGAGTGTGAGACTTTGTGAGTGTCTGTGTATGAATGTTTTAAGACTATCTGTGGACATTTCTGCTTCAAGCCCCTGGGCACTTTGTAGTCCCATCTGGTACTCTTAGAATTCACCACATATTGTCAGCATCAATTGTTAATTATTTTCCAAATACCATAGTTTGGAACAGTCCATCCATCTCTAGGGAGAACTCTATCAAACAGAAATTAGACAGTGGCCATCTTAGGTTCAGTGTTTAGGGAATGAACTTGCGTTCTGTGTTTGCGCTAGGTTGTTGATGACCTTAGACATGTCACTTGATCTTTTGGATCACAGAGTCTCCTGTAGAATATTCCTGCATAACTTATTTATTTAAGTATCAAACTAGGCAAAAATATAAAAAATAATGTAGAAAATTTAGGCATTTTACAAATGTTTGACAGTGTTTTGTGTGTTTTAGGGGGAGGGGATGTGGAAATAGAATTGTGCTCCTGAAAAGCAGTTTCTAAACGTTAAAAATACATCACACATAATCATGAGATTGCAAGCTACTGTCAAACACCAAAAGTAAATCCTGCAGATGTTTTGTCTTGCAACCTGTCAAGCACTCAGAGAACGTAATTCCTAGTCTCAGCAATGACTCTTTGAACAATTTTATGACCTAGCAATGATCACCTTTCCTATATAATCCCATAAATATTACATTATTGGTTTGGTGACGTGTCATTTGTGTGCTTTCTTTTTGCCGTCCAAACATCTAAGCTCGCTTTCTGTAAAAGTGGATGGGAGAATTTCTCAGAGGTCTCTACCCTACACAAAAACCTACAGGCAACCGAATAAAGTTGGGAGTGGGATAGGTGGACCTGCCCAGGGAAGAGCACATTCATTGATTGTGTAGTGCAAAACAGTTAGCCTTGCAAACATACATACAAATAGCATAATACAGACTCAACAGGCTATATTTAGTAATGTGTGTGGATATACAAATTCACATATTCATGCCATAGCAAAGGATGAAAAAAAAAGAGACCACAAATTTGAAAGAGGGTGCTGATGGGTACGTGGAAGTTTTGAGGGGAGGAAAGGAAAGGAAGAAATGTTGTAATTAATTAATCTTAAATGTGGTAATTAATACAATCTCAAAAATAAAAGCAAAAATGGATCTTTTCATGGTAAGACTTATTTAATAGGACATTTTAATCCTGCATGTTCTTAGGATTTAGATTTTTAAAACATTTGGGGCTAAATGTGACCATTTTATGCCAATATTTCGTCTTGAGTTGTATATTATTAAGTAGAATTAGTAAGGAGTTTCTTACCACACCTCTGCCCTGCTGCCCACTTATATCTAGGGTAGGAGGTAATTGAGGCAGATTGTTTTTAAGGTGAACAATAATCAGGATCTTGATTCATGTAAATCAGTTCAGAAATATTCATTTTTGAAAATGACCACAAAGGATTCACTGTTTTTTTTTCTTTTTTTTTATTGAGAATAAGAAAAAAAAGTTTCCGCCTCCTCCCAGCCTCCCATTTCCCCGCCCCCGGCCTTTTCCCGCCCCCCCCCCCCCCTCCCCCCCCCC